ACAAGTGAGAACGGTTTTATTCGGGACGAATCTGGACATCTACAAACAAAACTCCTGAATTTGTAATGTAAATGTCGATTAGTAGGGGAAATTAGCCTGCACACTCAAATAATAGGTTGATGCATATTTATTGCGGATTTTTTCGCTGTTTCTTTTCTCTGGCTGCTTTCATAGTCTACGATTTGGCCCGCGAGCGAGCGACCGAGCGATTGAGGCGGCGCTTGGCCCTTGTTCACAACTGAAACTTGGTAGATGCCGCTGGCAAGCGCCGCCCCAATCGCTCGATCGCTTGCTCGCACGCTCGCGGATGAAATCGTGGACTATGAAAGCAGCCTTTCGATACAATTTGAATACTGAGTTTGGGATTCATTGGAAATAGTCTCCTTGCTTTCCTTAGCAGAAATATGTCTAGAAAGTCATCTTCATATGCGCCACATCATGCTCTATTACTTCAAGAAAGATTGGAAGGTGGCAAATTTAGAAAGTGATCTCAACAAACTTCTCGGCGATGAAACAGTCAGCAAAAGCGGAATAAAGAATGGAATTTGCAATCGTTCGTTGAAAAATTGGGTAACGGGCAAATTGGGAATAGAACATTCGACGTAATGGATGGCATGATGGTCAAGGCGTGGATCGCCTAGAATAATCGAAACCTCTTCGCCCGTAGAAACCAGCTACCTAGTAAATGTTGAGCCGTGCTTGACGTAAAAGTTGGATATGTTTCGGAGTAATTACTTGGACATGACTTTACTAAATATTCCTGTTGTTTCTTTGAGTAAAATTTGCTGAAAAAAGTCGCAACAATTATGCATCAACCTAATAGTTCGGAGGGGGGATGCACCTATCAGTCCATCGACGCACTAGAGTTTGTCTTTTGAACACATAGTGAAGACTAATAGTGTAGGCAGTGGCTTACAAAGCACTCACTCACCTGAGTGAATATTTCTTTATGACCTCTCCGTGGTGCTGAATTTAGCCTGAATTTTTGCTATATCCCATGAAGACCTGAAGTGGCCTGACGGGAAGTCGAAGGGCGTTCAGTGACCATTTAGCAAAGAGCAGTCCCAATATCAAACGATTAAATTGCTTCTGTGAAGATCCTGCTATATCTAACGCGCTAAGTGTGCTTGTCTTTGTCGGCGTGCCTGTGTGCGTATGTAGGTATGTATATTTCCGTGTATCCGACTGAACATTGATAGCTCATGTTTCCGGAGTACAGATGGCAGGATGGTGACACTGATGGTGTATGATAGAACTTTACTCCGCTCACGGGGAACGGGCTCTTCTTGCAAATTGTTAATCAATACTTGCTGCCTTCAAATTTGGTAAAGGTCCTGGCGGCAGTATATGAATCTGACGGGTGGTGAAAGGACTTGACTCCGCTCACGGGGGGCAGGGCGTTCGTGAGAATTGTTGATTTGAACGTAGGCCTTCATTTTCGATAGAGGTTAAGTCTGAAGTATGGGAATGCTGATGGGTGGCGGAAGGACTTGTCCCCGCCCACAAAAGAGGTGAGTGCAATTCATAATTTCGGTTTCATGAGACCCACAGCTTTCAACTCGGTAGTAGTACACGCGGGATTAGGTAGCAGAACTGTACTCCCACGGAAGGGCGGGCGTGCGAGAAATTTGTGCTTAAAGGGAAATTTATAGTTCCTGTTTCCTATGACCCAAAGCTTCCAAGTGTGGTAGAGGTACAGATGGCAGGAAGGGAAAACTAAGGTATGTGACAGGGCTTGACTCCACTCAATGGGTGGGGCGCACGAAAATTGCTGATTTGGGCTTTCAAATTTGGCAAAAGTGCCAACGGCAAGCTTGAAACACTGGCGGCAGGTAGTAGAGAATGAGGGAACTGGTTAGCGCTCGCGGGGTCGCAGTGATTATGGAGAGAACGGACTATCTATGCATGAAATGAGCACAACCTGAGTGAAAACACGCGATGAAGTTGGGATAAGATTATGAACCATGTTACTCGATTACCCAAAACTTGAGAAGGACTTCGCCTACCGATTGGTTCTGTGATTTCTCAGAAAGAAACGAAAATTTAACTTTTTTTTTCCCACCATACAGAAATCATGAATAATCCATCATTCGAAGGCACAGTCCACGATAGCTCTTGATTATCCAGATTATGACGAGAAATGGAAGACAAGGTGGGAAATAGTGCGATGAAGGCGAAGAAAGTGCGTTAGTCCGCGTTTCCAAATGATGAAACGCTTCAAAAAAAGCCGTTCAAAAGGGGTTATACGAGAACAAGACTGGAAAAATTAAGAAAGGATGTTTGGCCGAGGTAAACAATGTGTGTCATTGCGTACGAGTGGGTCCTAGTGCGAATAGCTAACTACAGAAAGCAAAAATGCCCCCTGAAATTCATTTATCCGTAAGCATAAGTTAACAAAAACGCTAGTGACAGCAAACGTAGCCTTTTTCAGCCCCTGTGATAGAAAATTAAATAAGGGATCACAGTAGCAAAAAGAATAATAGAGAATGAAAGGATAGGAGAAAAACATCGCCTCTTTACTCGGCGATCAGCTGATTGCGTGTGGGTCCTAGAATGAACATTGCAATCTGTATCGCCTCGACACTCATCTGACGTAACATCGGTCGAGGGGCACGGCATCGGCATGGCAACCCGGTAGGTTCCCACTGCACATTAGCTGTTGAGGATTTGGACCCGACAGGTCCCTTTCTGTTAATCTTTGGAGCCACTGGGTGTTTCTAGAGGGAGATTTCAGAAACCATTTTTATCGTGAACTGTGCCATCAATCATAAGCCATCTTTCACTCAATCATAAATATATAGAATTTAATTATAAATATATTGCATTTACTTATTATGTACGGGAAGAAACTCTCAAAACTTGTTTCGTTGTATTTTTTCTAGCGCAATAAAACCTATTACTATTCTACTACCAGAAACTCCACTTTATGACTGACATTCTCATAAGCTGGTAAGTTTTAAAGGCACTGTTCACGAAAAAATGGTTTCGGAGATTTGCACATGGTTTGAATTCGAAGCCCCCTCTGATACCATTTGTGCAGGAATGGGGTCGGAAAACGGCTGGATAGGGCACAATAAGGGCAGGAACAGTGGGGGACGTCAGGCTTTCGCCCCTCGCTAGGCTGACTACGAGTTCCAATTGCCCTCCACCACATTCGCACTGGAGCGAAGTTGGTGAAAAATCGATACGCTGATTGGCAAATTGCCAGGAATGGTCAGGTGGTCGACCGCCTCGTACAGGAGCTAGTATTCAGCTGCTATTTCTATTATTCTACTATTATTCTGCGCTATTCTCTTCTAAGTATTCCCTGCCTGCCGTCGTCGAATGGATGAGGTAAGTATTTCAGGGAGATAATAGCAGGGAGAAATCCGATCAGCTGTTTGGGTGTGTTGTCTGTATTGCAGACATTGCGTAGCCTTCGTGCATTCTCGCCCGAACACTCCCTAACCGCCGTTATTTCAATGTGAGACTGGTCCAACCCCCTTTCCAGCTCTTTTTGTACCTTTCTACTTCTTTTTGTTCATCGTTTTTTGCACTTTTTTCGTTGTTATCGCTTTATTCTAGAGTAGTTCTATCAATTCCCGTCAAAAAAGGGTACCCTATCTTTTTTGTGAACGGTGCCTTTAACTCCATTTGTAACGTGTGCAGGCAGCGTAATTAACACGAAGTTTCCGCACCTAACCAAGTCTCTTCACGCCTAGGTGCGACGAGAGCTCAATAAGGTGTGATCGTACCAATGTTCCACAACTGTGAATCCGACACATAAGGCGGTTCTGTAATGTCCTTTGGACTATAACGTTTACCGATTCAATCCTTCGAGATGTCAAACGAACACACGAACAATAGGGCAACAGATAGACATACAGACAATTTTCTCTAAAAAAGGACTGATCGAAACGAATGTCGTCTCGTGCCCTCGAGCGAGAAGGGTGCACTGGACAAAACTGCACGGAGGAATGGAGTCATTGGTTGCATCCTCCCAAGCAAATCCATGGTCATAGAGCGAAAGGTGATACGAGTGGTATAGGCCGCCGTGTAAAATCGATCTCGAACTTGACTGACCAGAAATCATCAATTATCTCTCTTCTGTAGCACAGCAACCAATTTGACTGTGGAAGTAGGTGGTGGAGTGGGAAAGTTGGAAGTATGTTAGAACTCAATAACAGGCCTAATTCAGCACTCTGTTGATACTGATAATTATAATGATAATGACTTGCAGTCCATTTGGTACTGCTAGTTGTTGTCGGGTGTGATACTATCACATGGTTTCCTCTACAAAAAATAAGAACAAGGGGGCCTAAAACAGATATACTTGCATGCAAAAACGAAAATTAATCACGAGAATGCCGGATAATCCAGCTGTAGGTCTCGGTACAAACGAGTGATGGCGATACAACACAGCCCACCAACTATTTCGCTCACCTACTCACTTCTTTGCCCAAGACATTTTTCGTTACATAGTGTATGTTATTAGTTGGATTTCTGTATTGAAGTGAAATATTTCCAAGGAATGGATTGTGCATTGCATTTTATTCGGTAAAGTCGGTAAAATCTGTGTAGGAATTACTGAATTTCGTTCCTGTCTGATCCTATTCCGCGGTGACGGGACCATGATACTCAAATATATCGAGTGGCTCTATGACGCAAAGCTCTAGAAAGCCATTTAAAAACAATCGAAGTGCCTCAACCTCAGAAAGACGTGAGACCCCACGAATCGTCAAGAATGGCTCAGCAGTTTTTTTTCCTACGATATTTGTGTGCTCTGGAAAATTTCGTAATCGTATATTCCGCCTCCACACTAGGGATAATAGATTTTTGAACGTCAAAAAAGACATCATTGCAATATACAGGTAGGAGACAAGTAAGACGACAAGCTATGATGCTGTGGATAATTCTTATACAGATCCACCCTCTAACAGAAAATGACTCTAGAATTGCAATGACTTTCATCTTATGATTTTCTCATAGTTTCGCAGATTTTATATAGTGCTATGCTTGACTTACAGCTTTCTCTTGATGTGGCATCGAGCGCGAGTGGCTACCAAATCCGCATAGTAAACCGGAGCCGGAATTGAGACGGAACGTGCACATCGTCCGTACGTATGACACATTCTGAAGTTGTGCACTGTCTTCATTTCTTAACAGCCAAAAACAACAAGGAAATAACTTGAGTAACAGAATCCTTAACCAACCCATAAGTAATCGCTTGCATCTCGTCTGCACTGAAATTGTTGTCGTCCCACAGCACGTGATATCTTGCCGGGCGTGAAGTTCCTTGGACACCGTAATGTGAACATAGGTAGAAGTCAAACCCTTCAGGTGAAACGATTCCTGTGTCGACCTGAAGCTGTAGTCTTTTTGCAACTATAGCATGAAAGCGTTGAAATGTTATGAAGAAACACCTGTTTATACTTGAATTCTGATGTGATCGAAAAGAGAACCATGTGATCAGAAATTTCGAATTCAGCCGCTTCCGCTATACAACGAGATCCTTATCACCAGCAGAATGCTCAGATCTGGGGGGAGGGGGGGGGGGGGGGCATTCCAAGGAATAAATTTTCAACTGGCACAAATCACCAAACCACCTTTTTCTAGTGCCATGTGTCAGGTAAGTGACGTCGAAGCAAGAAATCGTTGAAGTATTCAGCAGCCACGGGAGGTTTGGTTTCCACGGTTTTCCTATAAAAGAAGTCTTTCTCTTTTCCTCCTTCTAGGCTTTACCCTGTGTTGTCGCTGAGCCCGCTGTCCTTAGCGGTCTCCATTTCAGTCTATCTACAACATCTGGTGTCACCTTGATTTCGAGAAGTTCTTTCTTAATTACTTTCATCACTTCAGATTACATCAGAGATGCGGCGCTGGGCTCTTGAAGAAATTTTTTTTCCGGATGGTTTGACGGCTGATGTTGAGGTCAGAGCAATGATTCATGCTGACTCCATCGTTGCGGGTGATCCCCTTCCTAGTGATGGCACGAATCCTGGGTGCGTTCATTGTTCTCGGACGTCCACCTTTTGGCATCTCAGGGGCTTGCCCTCGAGCGCTGAGACAAACATTTTGAACGGTCAAGGATGGAAAGCCGAGTCGTTCCGCGATGACGCAACTTTTCAAACGTACTCTGAGCAAGTTCTCGATGATGCGCAGAAACTTCTTTAGCGATGGTTTAGACGGACGGTCAATCAAATGACTCATAAGACGTCTCGTCTTCCTGTGCTTTCGAATAGTTTCAGAAGATTCTTGAAAGACCCGTTGACAAAGTGCCGACAAGCGCCAAACTGAGTCTTATACTCTTCAGCCCCCGTCACAATATACACATTGTGGGCCATGATCATGGTAACGACTTTCTAGAAGTTCGCAGTCTCCCTGTCTTGGAGGTTTTTCCAAATCTGCACCGCCATTTATGTTTATGATATACCTTAGCTCGCATATCTGTTTTGATGCTCTGAATTCGTTAGTTTCGAAAAGTAGTGAAGGTTACCAATCATCCAGCGCAGTTTCGTCTTTGTGCGCACTTGGTTAGCCTTGTCCCGGGAGCGCTTGTCTTCGACATATCCCACCTGACAGTCACTTGAATCGCGTTTTGTGGGCAGACAAGCCTTACGACGATCGTCTAGACTCAGCTACAATCCTTTTTCAGAATACAACTGCCTGTTGATGATAACGCTACGAAACCGCGAGGACACAAGAAAAATAACTGCCAAGTTGATGGGGGGGGGGTCAAGGGTGGGCCAAAATTATGATTACACAACTATCTCATCCTCAAAAACGACGAACATTTTCAAAAAAGGGTTTTCCACTAACCTCTCACTAAAATAGTACATTGTAGCCAAGATCTGTTGCATTTTGCTCTCATTGAAGCCCGAAGAAGACGATAAGTGGAATCAACGGTGGCACGCAGCCAGTACAAACGAGTTGTCCCCGGCTTTTCGCGAGGTAGTTTCAAAATTATTTCTATTCTTGTTAGGGCTAAAGTATGCTTCTAGTTCCACGATTAACCATACTAAGAGATCCATGGGAACCAGGTCGGGACTGGCCACTGATCGGAGATTATGAAGTCGGGCGACTCGTTTTACGAAATTTCTGGACATTTACCGATCTTCGGTCAGGAGCTTCATCTTGACAATATGTCCGGTTCGAAAAGTCAAAGTGTCCTATTGCGCATGGCGAGATCAAACAGGTTCCCAAATCCACTTCCACTCCTTAATTCAAAGAACCATTCGGTGTCTTCGCGTCGGCGGTAATGCTCGCAAAGGCTACTATAGAATGTTAGTGAGCCTAGCGCTGTATCACTTTCGTTTCTTTTAGCTTAATGTAAATCCTGTCGCTCTGCTTAGTGAACACCTTTCTCATCATGAACATCTTTTCGTCGGTGAAAAGGCATCCCCTATGACGATTTTCCTCAGAAACGAGAAGCAGCTCTTGTGAGTCGACCTTTCTCTCTTAGGCCATCTGACTCGCTAATCTTTTCCGAGTCGACCTTTCTCTTCCCTTAGGCCATCTGACTCGCTAATCTTTTCCTGATCGTATGAAGGCCTTGTTGTGCAGATAATTTTTCACGACTTTGCCGGAAATTTTATGAGATATCCATCCCATTAGCCTTTTTGTGTGCAGAGGGAACTTCACTACTGCGCAGACCTTCGCCCTGCTTCCTTAACATTTCTCCTGAATAGCCACCTATATTTACTCCACCCCTCTCCCGATCCCAACTCTTCACAGCGCCTAAAGTTCGGATATACCACTGATTGGTTACAATGAATCGTTTGGAGATGTACCGTGCCAAAAGTACTCGTAAATGCAAAGTGGTGATGGCCTCACGAGGTAATGACGCCTTCATAATTTTAAAATCTGCAAGACGTTCGGACCCATCAGGAACGAAACTATTTAATCTGTTTCGTGAAAAGAAACCGAATGAAATATTATAAAGTCTGGAAAAAATTTGTATGAGCCTCTGCGCGCACTGTAATTATAATTTCGGCCCACCCTGTATATACAGGGTGTCCCAAAATGATTGGCGCCGATTTATAGCCATATATTTGAAACTTCTCAGCTGCGAAAGACGATGGAATTTCTGTGCACGCTAGCTAACTTTATGTGCTACAACATGCTACAGTCGCATTTCAAAATACACCCTCCATGAGCGTGGATAGAGGTCAAAGTTTGCTCTCGACTTGATCACATGTGGCACGCAAGTGGCACGCTCCTTCTTCATCTCTTCCCAACCATTCTTCAGCCTTTGCATTCTAGGACTCCAAACTGGGACTGCAAACTAAACGGGACCGCTTTTAATCAGGGACCACTCGTGGGAGTCAATTGAGTCAAGTTCTGGGGAGTAGGGTGACCATTCCTCCTCACCAATGAAGTCGGGCAGCTGTCGTCGGCACCACTCGCGGGCAAGCTTGATCTGTGGGCTGGAGTAGCGTCCTGCAGGAAGGGCGAGATACTTCAGAAAACGTAGTTGGAGCAGTGCTTCATTACTTCCATCAGTACGCTGTTTGAGTACTGGTCCTGGTCAATTTTCACGCCTGCACCGAAGAAACCACGAGTGGCTTACCTTTGTCAGAAATTTCTTCAAAAAAAATCATTTTACTATTCTTATAGCAACCTCTTTGTTAGAGATTGCACGCTAGATGTTTCTTTCTGGGATGCGACTGTTTGGTTGTTGAGGAATGGTTTTATCGTAAAAAATTTTTTGGCCAGAGAAAACGATGAAGGGTTGCGTGTTATCACTCAAGTGGGTTTGCGAATTCCTGCATTTTTTGGCCCTGCAGTGTCTGTTGAGATCGGAATTGGGGCGAAATTTCTGCATACGATAGGAATGGCAGTGAAGCTTCTGCGTGACATTCTTCCATCGCGACAACTCCTGTAAGCCGTGTCCGTTGACTTCCTTTTGTTGGTCACCCAGGATCCCGACCGATTGGCAACGGACCATTTTAATAGTCCTATCTTCAGAAACATTCTACCTTTCTAACTTTTCTGGTTTGTCTCTGATTCAATCTTCTTCTCTATATCGTTTAACAGCCTCTTATACGGTTATTATAAAAATCTCAAGGGATTTCATAATGCTCTTCCACCTCTCGCGTGTCAGTGATTGCAAGTGGCATTGAATGAGCCACCTCCATCTGAAAGACATTGGGAGTTTCACATCAGTAACCATGCATTTTGCAAGAAAACTTTCTTATGCAACTAATTTATCACAGGTGATGTCAATTTGATAAATTTCTGGATTTTGGCGCCAGTAATTTCGGGACACCCTGTATATCACTTCAATAGAAAAAGTCTTCCCTGCGTAAATACAATTTTGTCCACACAAGTTCGTAAGCCTTATGAGCTTCTTCAAGTGAATAAGTTCGAAAGATGCACTGAATTCGTGCCCTACTTGCGCGCGGTATACGCTTCGACACACTTTTCTGACAAAAAGGTGTCATTGAAGAAATGCTTAGATCCCGGAGTACACGTGCATTCCTCTCTACGAGTGCCGAAGCGGGTGAGAAGGGTCAGATTGTTTGTTGTAACCATTTTCCCTCTGCGTTGATGGTTGGGGCTGAAAACTGTGTTATCGGTGCGATGTCGCTTATTTTGTCGGGAAAAGTATTAAAGTTGATCAGAACAATATATATGGGTCATTTCTGAAAAGGTGTTCTCAAGGGCAAAGACTATCACAAGAATGAGGTTCGGAAATACCTTGCTCATGAATGGAAAAATATCAAGAACGGTGGTTAGGAAATATTCGCGAGTTCGTTCCTGCTTCGTCGGATTTCTAGGACCGCCATCGAATGAGTTGGTAGGTGTAGTTGACGGTGGAAAAGAAGGCCTGCGTTTTAAATTACAGCTCTTCTGCAGCTGAAACAATTTTTGGAAGAAGGCTGGACAAGGGGTTAAGAGACTCTGCGTGCCGCCGTCGATGAGTAGCCGGAACTGTAATTAAGCTGTAACTAGTAGAGAAGACGGTTACACCAGTTGGCTATGCGTTTATTTTGTTAACGCGATTGTCGTGGTAAGTATTTCACATGAACTCATTATGAATTGCGGTTCCTACGCGACTTTTTGTTGCCATATTTATCGCGCAACCGGTATATGTATTGATAAGAAGCCACATAGTCCCAAGCGCAAATGTCCAACTCGGGTTGTCAAGGTTTCGTTCGAATCGATGCTCATGACCAAGTTTATTTTGAGAGGACACCTACACCGTCCACGCCTATACTTTTGCATATTTCAAGGAACAATTCTCCACTTCCGGAAATGGCGTGCGATTGGCGGTGTCTTCTCATTTAGGGCAGTCCGATGACATTTACTTGATTTCCTGTCTTGCATCATCAGATCCTCAATTCTGATGCAAGCCTGCATGCATTGGTAAAGTACCTATTCAACGCTTCAGGTTCAGTGGAATGCTAATCAGGCTATCTCATGTGGACAGGAAGCTTATTCACTGGCAGCGGAAGATATTCCAACTCAGTACAGCAGGAGCAGGAAGTCCTTCCCTGAATCCACGTGTGTCTCCAGGCACGCATCGGCAATTTTGGTCGGCGATTGACCCCCCCCCCTACCTGCCACCTGGGGCCGGACCAGGCGTCCTTGTCACTGACCGGCTGAGATGGGGCTGACCCGGTGATACAACCCTCAGTGAAGGAGATCAGGAGATTAGCAACAGAAGCAAACAAAGAAATATATTGTGTGGGGCTTGTAATGTTGTGAAGAGGAACTGAACAGCAGATGTAAACCCTTCAATGCTCTTCACGCGAGAAATCTATTCAATAAAAATGGTCTCGTAATATGGGCCCCTTCATTACACTCCATAGATGCGACCTAATTCACTGCATACCCCTTACTGGGTTCTGACTCCACCATACATTCGTTTTGTTTCGCTCTATTCTGCATTGCGCTGCGGTGCAGTGCATGGGTGCGTATCGTCTTAGGTTGAAATCTTGAAGAGTAAAAGTGAAGAATTGAGCTAACGCTGACTTTTATTTGATCGCGTTTTTCCGCCTGTTTGATCATGCTTGGGTATTGAGTGTATTCCGTTACAGGGACAATTCAACTCACTGTGGTTCCTGGTGGGATATTCCTAGCTTTTCCGACCATGTCCGTGCTGTACTTGCAAAACATTCTGGCGTGATGTCTCTTCTGCACGACGACGTACGTAATTGGGGGACGATAATCAGGTGAGAGTATCATGCAGGCCGATCGGATTCCCTGAATTCATATATCTTAAACGAACTGTGACACACGAATCAACTTGATGCACATGATCAGGTTTTTTGTGAACACCATATTTTAGCAGGTCCCGGTAAACTTTTGCATCATTGTAGCTAAATATTTGGCACTGGCTAGAAACACTAGTCATTGAGCAGCCAACGCCTATCATCGTAAAGCACAATATTCACTGGCTGCGCTATCTTCAGATCACTTTTCCGCAATAGCCCATCGACCTTTCACGAACCGGAAATCCTTTCCCGATCAAGGCAGTGTAACTAGTCTGATGGTGAACTCCGCGGTTACGAAGCGCAGTAATTGAGGTAAAAGTTGTATGTCGTGACTGTGCCTAAGCCGCGCATCTGCTGCGATCATCGCAAAGACCGCTTCAACCCTTTGACGACAGTGCGCCTTTTTGCGTGACTGGAGCTTGGGACGGGCGCGTTTCGAAGCTTCCCCCTTCAGTGGCTCACCGTTGAGCCGCACTGTCCTATGATTGGCACTTTTTGTGGTGTAAGCGAATTTTACTTTCTCTCATGTTTTTCTCTTCATTGAGGTGTGGATAAGTTAGTTATCAGTTTTCGACTTTCATCAATTTCGGTTTTATGCACATTACAGCTTTAGGACTCAAACATGGGTCAACTGCAGAAGAAGGTCAGGAGGGTAGTTGAGAGGATTATTGGTCGAATCCGATGAAAATATAAAGGAGCCTTCAGAAAGTGTTTCTTTTCGCAATAACGACTTAGTACTAGTTACGGAGATTATACCTGGTACGGAAAGTAATGTGACGTCATCAGAATCCAGCAGCGAAAGTGAACACGAATCGTTCAGCGGTGCAGAAGCTCACGGTGACTAGTATTCACTCAACAAGTTGGCCCACATGATTGTTTACGTAGCCATGGGCCAGTTGATTTTTACGGACAATACCGAACGAAGAAATGGTTCTACTAGCCGTTGAAGAAGTGAATAGGCAGGGGAAAGTGGAGAATACCACTTTCCATGAATATGCTGCCAAAACGAAAAAGTTAGCGGATTGTGCTTACAAATGGAAGTAGTACAGTTGCCTAAGAAGAAAGATTTGCTGTACCAGATCTGCGATTGGTGGGCCGTCGGTTACTGGGAAAGCGATGCCAAGGATTCGTTTTGAACAGTTACTAAATTCCCTTCACCTTTCCGATAATAATCAATCTGGTGACAACAAGCTTTACAAGTTTAGTAAGTTCCTGAAACTGTTCAACGCGAACTGCAAGGAATTCTACAGACCTGTGGAAGAATTCTGCATTGATAAGTCTATAATACCATTTCGTATCAAAATATTTTTCAGGCAATTCATCCCTTCCAGGACATAAAACCTAGCAGACTACCTTGTAGAAGTGGTTACACCCTAAGGGCGAAGATCTCCCTCCAGAGACATCCTCCAAAAAGGATCCATTTGCGTGGATCGCCATTCGGTGATCGTGGAGCTAATAGAGGTTGCTTGAACAAGGTAGACATCTTTATACCGATAACCGGTGTACCGATAATGTACCTCTAACTGCAAACTTCTTGAAACGCAGCACCTTCTTGTTCGGGACTCCGAGAAAAAAACCGGAAAGGAATACAGTCAAAAGTGAGGGGAAGGAAGGTAAAAAATGGGCAAGTTTACTACCAGCAAAGTCAGGTCGGAGTACTTTCTGAAGTGGATGGATGAACGCGATTTATTCGTGATTTCTACAAATCACGACGGGTCTATAATTCTTATAAGTCGTCGAAGGTTAGAACAAAATCATGGGTTCAGTCGATCGAAGCGACCAAGTGTCTGCTTATGCCCCTTTTTTGAGGAGAACCACTAAGTTGTGTCTCAGAATTTTCTCCCAATTGATGACGCAGACAGCATTCGTAAATTCGTGGAAGCTGAACAATGTTGTAGTGGAGAAAACGAGACTTAAGGATTTCGAAATGTGTGTTATTGAATCACTTTTGAAAAATAAAAGAGTCTGCGCACCTGCGCAATCACAGTCTGAAAGAAATGATTGGACGGGAAGCCGGAGTTTGTAAAAGATTTATAGGTCGTTACAGAGAATTATCTCGGAACTACGTAGGCTACTTCTTTTACCCTTGCAGCAATAAAAGGGATGTGAAAGTCATTTTTTGCATAAATTGTTTCCAAAAAATGCACAAAAACCGTGATTTTCAGCAGGAAGAATAGGTAGCTTGTAGGAACCAATGAAGACATTCTTGTCTCATTTTAAAGATTGTAGATTCCGTAACCACAATCTTGGTGCCGCCCTCCTCCGTGCCGTTCAGGAAGACTCACTCTCATCCTGGAGTAGGGCCGCTAACATACTAGTCGCACTTCGAAAAAATCAATGTCGCGTGATCGCCTAGAGCTGTTCACTCTTTCCTTTACTCTGGAAAGTGCTCTTTCAAGTTTTTGCTCCACCGTTCTACACTGAAAACACAAACACAACTGAAAATTTTTTTATCAAAGCTAGTTTATCAGAAAAGGCTTAATGTCAGCTCTGTTCGAGTCAAATATCACAAAAAAATAAGCTTTTTTTNTTTTTTTCCGGAACCCTCATAGCATGCTTATAGAGGTATTCAAAAAAACTCGATAAGCTTCTGAGAATGACTTTGTCACATAATCAAAACTGACTTGAATTTCTTCACGCAACACTTCTGCGAATTGTCCCTCTGACACTCCATCGCGGTAAACAATAATGCGAGTGGGTTTTTGATTCGTATTTCTGCAACCAGTGCACTTAGTGCTGCCGTTCCATTTTTTGCCGCATTTTCCTTGGTTATTAAGTGAAAAGTAGAACCTGTAGAAGGACACAAGCCTTTCCCTTATGGCGTCTAGTAGGTACACGACCGATTCGCGGCACTTTCGCTGGACTTTGACATTGGCTCCATATGATTGGGGTAATAGGTCAATATTAGCGACGATCTGAAAATATGTGCTCGAACGGGAGAGTGAAAAAAAGCAGTACTATTAGTGAGCGAGTATTGGAATTTTCTTAGACTATGATATAAGCCTCATTCGTGGTCCACTTTCTCCAGTAAAGTGCAACCGGAAGTTCGCTCACGTATCAGCCTTTTTACGACATACATACAGTGACCTTTTAAAAACGAGCCTTCTACATTTACAATCCTTGAAAAAAACATTTTCACAAGGAGCGGATGTGTTGCGCTCGGGTATAGTTGTTGGGTGGCAGAAAATGATAAAAATCAGATTGAGGATTAAAACTAATCTTTCTCCTATGTTGAGACACCTGAAGTAAAAATGAGGGCGAATTTCATTGTAAAATTCAAAACCTCTCTCATCTCTCTGTCGTGGTGTTTCTATAGGACGATTTCGCCAACGTAGTTATGCTAGTCGATTAGCGGATGAGCCACATGTTTCAGTTTTATGAGGATCTATGAAATTCAGTCGGCTTCTGCGAAAAAGAATACATAGTGATGTTGAGAATTGCTTAAAAATCAGAATTAGGCCCATATTGGATATCATTGGCGATGTACGAGGCGTTGGATAGGTAGTTCGCTTAATTGCTATGTTTAAGAGGAAGAGGGCTGATTTTGCTGCTACCGATGTACTGTATGGATACGTGTTTAGTGAACTTGAAGATGAAATGATCTAGAAATTCGCCGCTTCAAAAAGCCAATATCCTAGGACGAAAACACTTATAGCAGGCCTAGTACGGCTACTCATCCCCTCACGGCTTGAGAAGCAACAGACTAAGCCGTTCCCTGTTTTCCATATTCTTGCACATAATCGCAAAATAAGACTTGGAGTTGGTTTGTTGACAACAATTCTCTACGCTGACAACATTGACCTGATAGCGGATAGACGGAGACGTTGAAACATTTTGCAGAAATGGCAGGGTGTTGGGGCGGATAATGATTTTCGGCTTAATGTTAAGAAGGCACAGTTTCTCAAGCTCAAAGCGAGCACAAAACCAGTCGCAGACCGTTTTGGGCATAGACGTTTCTTATAAGTAATCTGTCGCTCAGATAGAGCACAGCGCCAAATCTCGTCTCAGATGTTCTATTGTGTACTGGCTCGCGGGCAAGAATCATGTGAAGCGATGAGAAGCGACCTAAACAAGGTTTACAAAAAATGCTGTGAAAGGTCTGTGGTTGCGCGTGACTTTACCAGTCAAGTCACAGATCAGGAAGACATGATTTTTTGTTGACTTCCGCCTAACTGAGGGTGCGAGAGTAACGCCTGCAATGTATGATCGCGCAGAGGAGGTCATGGTGCTCGCAAGGAAAACCATTGAGTTTCGAAGTTGAAAGTTGGCGACCACGAGGTGTTCAAAGAGGAAGTAGAGTGCTATATCCAAGAAGGGTCTCTTCAGAACCGAGATGAGACCCCTAGTTAGAAAAAGAAGACAAAACCGGTGAGAACAGTGTTGTGAGAAAAGTAGAAAACTTCACTTTAACGTCCCCTAATGATACGGCCACCCATGAATTTCACTAAAACTCATTTTCCAGGGCTCTCCAAGAAGAGCTTCCATATGGAAACTAGACCCTACTCGGACCGTAACATTTGAAACATTCAAACCAGAAACGAGTGCCGTTTCAGTAACATGGGCAATTTCCCTTTTATTTTCAGGAAAGGTCACGGCCTATACTGCGAAATGATACAGCCACCTTATATTCTCCCGTCGTTTTTCATTTTCACCTCGCACAACTGCCTAATTTGTGTCAAGTTCTTCAATTTCCGGTAATGTGTGGAAGGAAGTTGCTATCCGATTTCGAGAAAGGTCTAATTCTTCCCAAAAGAGGAACAGGGACTGTTAAATCATAAAATCGCTAAAGATTTGAGCCGTTGCCGCTCATTTGTCGACATTTCGTCAAGACTCCTACCGGTGTGGGACCAAAAGTGAATGGAAGTTTTTCGTTACCTTTGGAAGGATATAAGCAAAGTATTTCAAGAGAAGCGTCGAATACAACGAAGTCATGTACAAAAATCAAGTTCTGTTTGAGGCTCAATGTCCCGACGATTATTTTTTGGAACGTGTTAGAAAAAAGTCTGAGTTTATATCGACGGAGAAGGAGAAGGGAACTTCTTATGACCGAGAAGCATTGCGACAACTGGGACGCTTTTGCAAGAAATTGTATACGAACCATTTGGAGCAAGATGCCTTTTCATAGCTTGTCCTTTACTCTTTTATCTCTAGATGTTTAGTTTTTCAGGTTAAATTTTTGATGAAAAAAGTTTAACTTTGATGCCTAGATGGAAATCGGTTTTTGTGGCACAATCTGAGGAAGGATAAGCTTTAGCTTCCCAGACGAAATTTCAAGGGAGAAAGAGTCATGGTATGGGCGCCAACTACTTCTCATTATCGTCTTCATTTATAGTTTGTTCTGAAGAGTCTCAACCCTTCCGGTTATCAAGTCGTAATGCGCCGTGCTCTTCTTTCTTTCTGGCGTCAGGATCGGGAGCAGAACCTAATATTCATGCAGGATAATGCCCCGATTCACGTCAGCCGGAGCACCGAGGCCCGGATTAGTCGGCACCTTCTTCTTCATTCTTTAGCGTCTTTAGCGTTCCGCTTGTAGGCGGGGTCCGCTTTTCTTATATGTTCACGCCACTTCTTCCGGTTGAACGCTTGATCAGGGTGAATGTTAATCGTCCTCAAGCCTTCGTGCAACGTATCGAGCCATCGCTGCCTTGGGCGTCCCCTGGGCGGATACGTCAAGGTTGAGACCGATCTTACGGACACTGTCATCATTCGTGGCGAAGACCATGACCATACCGTCGGAGACGGGCTTCGCACGTTTCATCGACAGTGAGCTCTACACCTATTGCTCCCTGATGACGCCATTACTTACGCGGTCTAGTCGTGTTACTCCGGCTGTCCAGCGCAGCATCGTGGTCTCTATCACACTGGGAAGGGCTTTAACTTCTTTGGTCACGAGCCAGCACTCAGCATCGCAAACTGCAACCGGCCGGTTCTATAAATCTTGGATTTGAGACGCCAAGGCATGTTATTATCCAGTGTACGCCTCCAATCAAGCGCCGCTTCATCCATGCTGCATTCGCGCGAGAATTCGTTCCAAAGACAAGCTGCCGTCAGACGCTCCAAAGACAAGCTGCCGTCAGACGCAATCGCCGAACCAAGATACTTGAAAGGGTGTGAGCTCAGTACCATTGATCTTGATAGAGCCTGGTTCGCTCGCGATGCTTTTCTAGTAGAAGGCGAGTGGCGTGTATGCAACCAACCACAAAACCACACGGGGTAGTGGTCAGCTCGACGATGTCACGGATACGTCTGTCTACAATTCGCTCGGAGATTTCCATGCTTTGTGAGAGCGAGCGACTAGGTGGTAGCAAGTGCAGTCCCCAGGATGTCCTTTTTCCAGATAGGAATCGTCGTGAGCACTTTGATGCCCACAAGTCCACCGCGTCGGAGCCGGCTGCTTTGCCTGGTTTCATCCTCCTCAAAACCGTCTTCAGTCAATATTTTCCTTCACTGCTATCTTCTGAACGTAACCGGATACTGACGGAGCGCCAGGAATGGCGGGATGAGCAAACTCGACTGTTGAGAAGTTTTCGAAATACTCTCGCCATCGTGCTATTTGCCCGCGGTCCGTCAAAAGGTGACCGTTTCCGTCGTCCATGCCGAAGGACTTTTTTACGCCCTCGGTCTAGCGATTGCGGGTCTTTGCGACTCACCATCACTAGATTCGAGTTTCTCGTCAAGATTGGCATAATAAGCTGGCTCCGCAGAAGCAACGGCCTTCTTCGCCTCTTCTTCGTTAACTGATAGCGCTGCCAGTTGTCAGCTGCCTTTCCGAAAAGAAATGTATGGTACTGCTTTTTCTTCTCACTGACTTTACCTCCGACGTGGTCCGTCCACAGTCATGTTTGCTTGCCGACCTTTCGCCGTCCATGCCGAGCTCCGACCGCGTAACCTGGGTTATCGTTACGACAGCTTCCTTCAAAGTCGGCACTCGTTACTGCTTGTAATAGAATCCTGGCGACGACGGCCGCTTCCCTCTCCTTCAGTCGCCAATCCTTGTTTGCCCATACCTCTCTCCCGGTTTCGGTCTCGGCGGGGCGTTCTTCACCGTACAAGTCAGTGGTCGGTGTTGTGTTGTGACCATTTCATAGAGCTGTCTTCTTCTCTGATTGTGGTGCCTGACAAGGTCAAAATCAATCTGTGTTCTATATACACCGCTATAGGAAGTGATGAGATGAGAGCCACGTTTTCGAAGTTTCGTGTCTACAGCCGCGAGATTATGCGAGTCTGCATATTGGATAATTCGCTCGCCATCAGTGTTACGTACCCATATCAAAAACCACCATGACAGCTGTAACCGTCTATCGTAGCGCCCACGTGACCGTTGAAGTCATTCCCAACAACTGTGGTTTTTTGTAACGGTACTTCAACTGTCTTTTTACCGAGAAGGTACCAGGACTTGTCCCGAGTTGGCTCGGAGCATACAGTCTGCGGAGAGTACGCTGAGAAGATATGGTATTTTTGGCGTTTGATGGACATAATGAACTTCATTAGGCGGTCATCGAAGCGTTCCACGCTCACTATCGATTCACGGAACCGTGTAAAGACTATCACCCCGAAGCCACCGATGATTTGGGGCCACTCCAAAGAACGAAGACCACCTCGTTCTTTCATGGCACGGAAATCAGTTCGTCGACGCTTCCGCCTTCCGCCAACTCGTACGAGCGTCCCATTAACGTGCCAACATTTAGCTGCGCAACACGGGTCTTCCGTACGTTGCAGTACTTTTGGACTAGCCCAGTTGCCCCCGAAGCCGTTCTTGCACCGGAAACCCTCGCATATTTCTTACACTCACCGGGCCTTGCAAGTGCGTGTCGGCTTCCGCGGACGCCACAACTTTAATCCGAGATTCATAAAGTGACCTAACGTCTTTGATGTGACGTGTTGTCTTCGTAGGCCAGTCCGTGACGGGACCTGTCACCTGCATTCGAGGGTCCGCGATCATCTCAGCCCTCAGTGTGAGCAGTTCCCAGGGCACCCCTCGCAGGAGCACATCACCTCCCCAGATTAGTCGACACCAATTCGACCTTTTGCCCTGGCCGCCAGTAGCCCTGACTTGAATTCAATGCAAAATGCATGGAGGCCAAGATAAGAAGTGGGTTCATCATAAAGTAGTTTATGAAGGAAACAAGCAATTGGAGCTGAAGGAATCATTGAGCTGAAGAAGGCAATCTTAACGGTTGGGACAAAAAGTCGACCAGCAAGTCATTGATAGCCTTTACGTGATCCTAGACCATCGTACTTTTATAGTGATTTGAAGGAATGGGGGCTCTACCGATTATTGGTCACCCGACTTTCTCTCTTTGTTATCACTTAGCTGCTAAATAAATTGATTTGGTCACTGGTTGCATCATTTGCCAACATAGGCGAAGTGACCTTAGTGAGGAAATGAAGGGAAAAGGTTACGGTCCGAGTAGGGCACAATTTTCATACGCACAGTTCACGATAATTCCCTGATGCTGGCTCGCGGGGCTTTCCCGACCTCGATCGATGTCACGTCACACGATACGGATTGCAAATTCTCGCTCTAGGACCCACACACAATCAGTTGATCGCCGAGTAAGGGGGCAATGATTTCCTCCCATTCTTTTGTTCTCTATCATTCTTCTTGCTGTTGCGATCCCTAGTTTAGTTTTCTATCCCAGGAAGATGAAAAAGGTAGGATATTCTTGCTGTTCCTGGGGGTTTTTTTGTTAACTTTGCTTATGAGTCAATGAATTTTTGCTCACCGCAGTCAGTTATTCGCACCAGAACCCACACGTACGCACTGACACACATCGTATAGCTTGTCCAAACGCTCCATCCTTCTTCTTTTCTCTGGTCTCACTCTCGTACAGCCCCCTTTTCAACGATTTTTTGAAGCCTATCTCACTCTAGAAACACCGACCACGCAGTCTCTTCCCCTCCATCGCAGTATTTGCCATCTTATCTTCAACTTTCGTCATAATCTAGATTACCCAAATTTATCGTTAACTGTGCCTTTAAGCCTTTTCCTAAAGTGCCCTTGCCCGTGAGTTTTGGTGGAATTCATGGCTGACTGTATCATAGGGGACGCAGTGTAGGTATTGCGCTCGGTGAGGTGAACTAAGCAGAATAACTTGTCGATAAATCTTTGCCTAACGTCATTTCGTTTTGAATTAATTGGCACTCCCTTCATGTCACGTACCGCTGCCACTGAAGGAATGTTCATACGTTCTTCAGCTTGTGTTGGATGTGTGACGTCTATGCCAACGACCAGTGTTGGCTGATCTATTATATACTTGTGAGTGATATTGTCAGCAACAATACGACTATTGATCCCTCCAAGCTTCATGTTCACCTGAAAACCTGGCAATTTTGCGGCAGGCTCTGGCATGTCCCTTTAGAAAGGGTTTGGAACCAGTTCTGTAGGTGTGATCTGCAACTCATTAAACGATGCTCGAAGAATGATCTCTAACGTTATTTCAAACCCGTCATGATTTTTGTGACCACTAACCTTACTGCCGCACTTTAATCGGCTTGAAAGCATCCAAACCGATCTTTAGAAATTGATGCACACATTGGCGCCGCTCTCGCGTCAGCTAACGAAAGTTGTCATTATTCAACTGTTATAGCTAGGCTTACACTTCGATATTCGCAAGTTCATTCCAAGCTTTGTATCGTGCAGGTCCCTATCATGCTTTGTGAAAGTAACCCAAGAACTCAAGTGTCGTACAATCACACGTATGGTCCATGGATCATTTTCCAAATTGATAACCGCGCAGACCAATCTTCCACTCTATTAGGTTCGAATAACGAGCACCCCTCTTGTTTGGTTGGAAGGAGCTGCGACTTCTACATGGGCTAGCCAGTGCATGTCACAGTGTAGGCCGAGAGCACTTCAATTCTATTGCAGCCAATGTGAGGCTGCAAAATCGTGCTGTAGTTGCGCGGCCAATCACATCGTAATCTCAAGGTTCCTTGGGCAAAACATTCAAATTTTCTTCGGTTGAATTACTATTCCGCGCACGGATGTTTGAAAGCAACTTAGGAAGCGCCATTGAGAAAAGAGTGAGCACATTAGAAAGTAGTGTATACTCACTAATATACAATGAGAAATAAGGATTTTGAGTATTGAATTATCTTCGAAGAATACACAAAAATTCAGGAACTTTCTTCGTTTTTTCTGACATATTCATTTCTCAGTTGCGCGTCTCAAGTTGCATTCAAATACGCACACACAGGAAATCAGGATGATTTAAATCAAAGCAAGCATTGCATAGCATTGCAACGCATTCTCGAAATAGTGATGCGCCGCTCATTACTTGCCTGGCGAGTTGCGTGGCAGACGACGATAGAATCGAAGCGCTTTCGTAGAATCGATTGGAGGGACTTGAACGTCCGGTGAAGGTGTGATGCAGTAACCCCCCCCCCCCCTCCCTAGAGCCCCACCACCTACACCGTAGGTTCCATCCACAGCACCTTTTTGTTGCTTCGTATATGTGACGGGTGTTTGATGGCGCTTCAGTGTCTTTGGGCTACTGTGTAACCCATTCACGGGATGGAAATTCGTCTTGTTAGAATCGAGCGTTCCTTGTAGAGTTAATGAGCATTAAAAACAACTCAATCATTCTGAGTGGAAAGTTCAGTGTGGGTGCACATCTCAAGAAGGGGATAGATTAACGCTAGTAGTGATCATTTCCCAGTCTTCCATAGCAACTGTGTCATGCCGTGGAAGTAACTTAAGAGCGATTACAGATAAAGTCAAGCAGTAAACCACTGTAGACTACTAGTGATTGAATGATCGGCTAGTCAAAAAAATGGTTTTTACGAATACTTCTATCAATCAACATATAAATCATTACTTGTGAACAAAATTTTATCCACCGTACGCACTTTGAGGATTATGTTCGAGCAAGTTGCAGGCGATGGACGTTGAACGTTTTTCATAAGCACGCATTGTGACATTATGCCGTGGATCATATCTGAGCTCTCCTTCACGGTCACTGAATAATTCATTTCTTACTCCGACTGGGAGCTAATAAAAGACAGTTCACCTACTGTAAATATCTGAATTCTTTCCGGGCAGGACCACTATGACGAGATCGCAGCTAGTACTTGTCTGCTTGTATTCATTGGCGATTTCGTTGAACAATATTACCACATCGTCGCGACCACGCCCGTATTTGACGAGGTCGGGCCATTTCGGAAAATCCATGCCCATTTGTGTAGCCTAGAACTTGCATAGTTATAGTGGTAGAGCAGGCTTTCACATGAGCGAGAATACCTTCGCGTAAAGTGCCTGACAGAATCCTTGTAGCAAATTCTGGTCTCTGGGGTTAACCAACGCGATCATCGAATAACTTCCACAAGTAGCAGGCAAATAAAGCGTTTGATTGTCCATAGACCACGCTCCGTCCTTCGGATGAACAATGGGGTCCTTTGAAATGGCCAATATGCGGAATTGCAAAGCCTTCACTGCTAAGATGTTGCTCATAGTTGGAGATCAGTAGAGTCGCTGAATCGGTGACTAGCAGGTAAATATGCACCGATGTCGAATCATGGATCATCAGAATTCAAAGCTGATACGTAGAAACGCGTGTTTTCTACTAAAGTGAAACTCGGGTCAATATCGCGAGCCGTAGAGTTGTGGAATATAGAGTCATGCCGGCTATCTGACGTCTATCTGTTGTTACTAGCAATTTCCGTGTTCGCAATATCATACTGTTCAAAGACACAGCTCACGATACTTTTTCTGAGGTAACCTTTTCAAGCTTAAAGCGAAAGTGTTAGTGGAGAAGAGTCCATCGGGGGCGAATGGGGCAAGATAATCTGCCGACTGAGCGAGAAGTAAGGCCTAACAAATGTAGTTCGAGGTTGTACGGGATTTCCATGACGGAAATGACATGAGAAGTACTTGGACGAGATTTCATCTGTTGCAATCGCTTAAAAAGCTGTCTACATTGAGCTGAACCTGCTCGAAACTGCCTTCTGCTGTGGCCATGGGTCGAGACCAGTTGTTTAAATTTCCAACACGGGTGTCTCTCGCGATGGTGGAGCCTCTACAACGCCGTCAGAATTCGCCTGCCTTCGGGTGTTGCATACAGAAGATACAATCCTGTTCATTTAATCCGCTGGTGTGTTTGTTGGTGTGTTTGTGTTTGTGAAATGCTCGGCTAACGCTGAGCGCTCCTCCTTTTCCTGTAATAAGGGCATGTCCTTCACTGAGTTCTCTCTCACTGAAGGATCCCCTGCCGGTTGATGACTAGGCTACGTAGGGCGTCCCCACGTGGTGCATAGGAGAATTAATCGCCGACCAAAAGTCACCGGTACTTGCCCAGAGACGCAGGTGGATTCAGGGGATGGACTCCTCAATTCTGCTGTGCCGGGTCGACATACCCTCTGTTTCTCGCAGGCGTATCCACGCATACATGTGTGGGGAGTCTGTTCAGTGGGTATCCTGTCCATCAGTTCGGCCAAAAGCTTGCATTCGAGTGACTGGGAAGTATCTGGGAGGTGATTTGGGGCCCCTTCAAAAACAAAGCCCGTCGTCCACTTTGGGATAGCTTGGCAAACCCCCAGAGTCAAGCTAGCCTCCACGTCAGAACCTGGCAAGCTGCACGTTGGGTATCTTCACGCCAATAACAGTAACAGAAATGGGTCTCATTCCTCTGAGCCTGAGGGAGCCCCCAATACGGCAGCATTGGGTAGGATCGCTCGAGAGAGGCTGCTAACATCTCAGGGCCCGAAAAAGGCTGCCCAAAAGGAGATGGACTAAGATGGCGATTTGTACTTTCAACGCACGGATGCTTGCATCGGAAGAAGACCTGATGATGCAAGCTAGGAAGATCAAGTACGACGTCATCGGACTGACCGAGAGACAAGGCATCGCCCGCTGCATGCTGTATTTGAGACTGGAGAAGAACTGTTCCTTGGAACATGCGACAGCAGAGGCGTCGGCGGCGTAGGTGTCCTCGTCATTACGCCCTTGGCCATGAACATCGATTTTTACAGAAGCTCGACAACCCAAATCGGACGCTTACGACTGAGAAGATATGGCTCAACCCCAGCTCTAACAATCTTCGTTGTTTACGCACCAACATCGAGCTTCGATGAAGAAGAGCTGGAGGCGTTCTATATGGATCTAGAGAGGCTCCACAGAGAAGACCACGCTTTCTTCAAGATTTCAATCATCATTACGCCATCGTCGGTAATTTTAACGCAAAGATTTGCCCCAGAAGAACGGCTGAAGAGCTCCACATCGGGACTCACGGAATGAAATGAGCAGGATGTAAGGCTGTCCGAGTATACCATTTCGACCCACAACATCCATGGCAATTCTCTATTCCAGAAGCCATCTCATTTACGATGGTCATGGAAGTCACTTAGGACATTTCCGAGATGAAATAGACCACATCATCTTCAATCGGAGATTTTGCCTGACAGACGTCGCTGTTGTTTCGAAGTTCTACACGGGATCGGACCATCGCCTTCTCCACGCTAGATTCCACTCTTCAGTGCGTGGAGAGAAAGCGGTGGCCTTAGGAAACGAAGCCCCAAGGCTTCCATCAACTGGGACACCTTCGCTTCTCTTGCGAGTGAGTGGGAAGATCCCGTTACCAACAACATCCATGAAGAATACAACCGGCTCGTCGAACATTTTCACGATAGCGCTAGGAAAGCAGAGAGTCTACAAGATACGCCAGCGTGGAATCGCACGAGCTACAGGCAATCATCAACAAACGTCCGAGCTTGCGAAGTTATGCAGAGAAGCGATAAGGGAAGGTCTGATAAAGAGAAGAGCAGCAGTTATGAACGAAGAAGCCGAGGCCGGGAAGAGCGTTCGCAAAGCCCGACGGAGCCTCGTCAATCACAAAATCAAGATGATTTCCCTTCGTCGTCCTGACGGAACAGTTACTGCATCTCGAAAGGCAATGGGAAAGGTCATCTGCAACTTCTACTCGGATCTCTTACTAAATATATAAGGACGACTCATGAGCTCTACGACAGCTTTACTGCCAGGATTTCACCATTCTACAACGAACTCATTATCAACGTGAAGAGATGTGTCAGGCAGGGCGATAACATTTCGCCCAAACTTCTCTGTGCCGCTCTCGAGAATATCATGCGTCATTTGGAATGGGAGGACTTGGGAGTAAAAGTCGACGCCAGTAAAAGTCGTACATCACCTCCGCTTTGCAGACGACATCGTGCTCATGACACCGAACATCGAGCAGGCGGAACGAATGCTGGCCGATTTTGATAATGCTTGCGGAAAGATCGGGTTGAAACTGAACTTAACAAAGACGATGTTCATGAAAACGGATTGGTACCTGATGCTCCCTTCACGCTAAATGGGAAAAATATCTCTGAATGCTTTAGCTATGTGTTTCTAGGAAGACAACATGATGAACGACCTAGGACCGGAGCTGTGCAGAAAGAAACGCATTCAAGAATATCGAGGGAGTAGTGAAGAAGACAAACAGCATCCGGCTCCGCGCTCACCTTTTCGACACTGCTGTTATTCCTGCTTTGACGTACGCCTCAGAGAGTTGGACTATGCAAACGTAGGATGAGCATGCTGTCAGCGTTACTCAACGCGCTTAGGAAGGACGCTGCTTGGAGTTTCCCTGTAGACGCAAGTGCAGAAGGGAATCCGTGTTCCGAGCTCTGTCAACGAACGAAGATCAGGGATGCCGTTGATTAAGCCAAGAAGTCGAGAATCAGATGGTGACCGTTGGACCAGAGTGTTACGGACTGGATCCCTCGGGACGTCAAGCGAACCAGGACGGCCTACAGCGAGAAGATCAGACTGTTTCACGAAAGCTCTGAACGAAAGGAATGTTGATCCTCGTGCCTCTGGAGCGATTCATTGGACCACTCTGGCTCGTGTCAGGGACGAATGGAGACGTTGCCGGCGCTCCTCGAGGAAATCGACGATCAACGGGACGACAGGTGATACAGGTGAAGGGCTGTCGCTTAAGTCCTCCGCAAATTTGGACGCTCTGATAAAGTGAACAGGAGGTAAAAATTTTTGCTTCAGTACACGCACACACACCCGACACACTCCATAGGCACTTCGTCCATCATGAGCGGAGTTACGCTCAACTCATGTAAATTGAAGTAAATTGGTTCACCTTTTTCTCAGCTTGACAGCGCAAATCCACCTACATAACGCTCATTCTTTGCACAAGTAGCGTCCTCTGTGGTCGCAGTCCGGTCATGCCACCTACCACAAGTGTTCTCATCCTGCTCCTGTTGTCCTACCAAATTTTAGCGCTGTAGGCCCATATTAATATTTTCCGCCCTTGGCGGAGTTCGGACTCGACATAATTGTTCAAATCATGCCGCTTGTATTACCACCAAATTCGAATGCTCTAGGTCCAAAGGGACAGGAGTTATGAAATCGCGGTCACACAAACACAAACATGAAGAGACACACTAAGCGGATTATGTAAGTAGGATGGTGTGTTTGTCCGACCGGAAATTCATAACTCTTGTCCTACTGCGCCCAGAACATTTAAAATTGAAAGAGATACTTGGCTCGCAAGCACTTCCTTCTCATAATGGACCTTATCAATAGGTGGTGCAAGACGTGGCAGAATCAAAGATACTAGGCGAGAGGAGTTGATAACAACTGAAAACAGTTGTTAATGAGCTAACAAAAGCAAGAGCCACCAGGTCCGTGTCGCTTTCCCTGTTGACAGTTGAACTTTTGCATTTTGAAAGATGGTGTAAGATGTTTAGGTATTGCAGGTACTTGGTAGCGAGAACTGATGGCAAATGATATAAGCTGATAATGAGCTGTCAAAGCAAGAGAAGGAAAGACCACACTCTTCTAGCCAACAGTAGAACCTTGGCACTATGGTGGCGGCGGGATCGAAAACAGTAAAGGTCAGAACTGATAACATTGGTAAGGGCCCATAACAAATCTTAGAATAGAGAAGCAGTCACATTATTACTAGAGCCTTGTCTGTTTGGCATGTGAACGGAGCATGGTGGGATCGTAGATGTCCGATGAGAGGAGCAAGGTAACAAAGATAAGAGTCCATAGGGGCATTAACCAACTAAATTTAACACCTCTGGTATTAACGATGTATTCATGATTGCGGCTATTAGATTACGACCGCTATCCAGCAAGGTTTGTGATTTCACGGTTTCTCATTGTTTCGATATCGTTTGCGACAAAACTTACTCCTACCGCTAAGAACCTGGGATTCTCGACTGATGTACTCCTAGAAGAAGATCTATAGAGAAGACATCTGATAAAGGTGCTATTATCACTCAACTGCATTTGTGAGTACTACTCTAGGTTTTGGTTGTCTGGCAGTTGAATTTTGGAGAGCGTTTTTTTTAGATGAAGAGCAACCTATCGAGCCTTCTGATCATAGGCGTAAGCACAGACACATTCTGAGTATCACTTACGCTGGCCGAGCTCCCCTCCTTTTAGGTCCCTTGTCAAAGTTGTAGAGCCTAGGTAGTTGTCGAATTCATGTTCGGAAAAGCGTCGTTTTTTCCAGTTTGTAGTGACGGGTTGCTCAAAAAACTTGGGAGAAGAAGGAAAGCCCGACGCTAGCCGTCGATACGATTAGCCTCTTGTAGCGACCCATGTAGTCGTTTACCAATCCAACAGCGCTACATGTGGTTTAGCGCCACAGATTTACGAGTACATCTCAGGAAGTACTTTCTTCGTCAGCTGTGTCCTCGACAGTACCGCGCACTAATCTACCACTCCTGGGTTTCTGAGATCGACACCGCGTTCACCATGATTTCATGGTTCTCCAACTGTGACTGTCCCATCATCGATGATGGGCTCATTAATAAACCTTGAACTAACCACCATTTTGGAATTGTCACCGAACATGATCTGTGGCGGTTGGATAACCCTAGCCATAGTTTCGAACATCCTAGGTGAGACCGAAAGACCAAACTCTTTGAGAAAAGGGTCACGGTCAAAGCCAGCTTGCTGGCAGAGCTGAGCGATACGCTCTTCTCTCTGTGATGCATCTACTGCGGCAGCCTGTAATAGGAAATGTCAAATAATAGGAGGGTTCGTGCATGAGAATATTAACTATCTTACTCTGATTATTGAGCTCGTCTGCTTTTCACTTAGTTTTTTATTGTATTTCTGCGGTGTGTCCATCTCACAGACTTCCAGTGGGAAGAAGATGTTCCGGGTAGGTGGGCCAACGTGAAGACAGGGAAGTTTTGGGAAGCGTAGTTCCTGGAGAAGTCAGATGCTGATATCCATTTGTCTTGTTACTATTCCATGTCATCTTTCCAACTCACAATCCTCGTTTCATTTATCGAATGAATTTTAACTCCAAAAACGGTACGAGATTGTTTACCTTGAACCACGCGAAAATAACCTGCACGGGTATGCTGGAGGAGGATGTGTCAGCACGATTTCTTTCTGTTTCGTCTTACAATTAGATAGTGTGAATGAACATTTCTAACACTGCCAAGGACAAGAAGAAAAGTTAGTGTTGATATATTTCTACTAGTTCCGAGTGTTATTGAACTTTGTAGGCGCTGTTTCTCCTGCTCACTATAAAGTACGTGACATCTAGGTCGACGTCACAACTCATGTGCTGGGTCACTGGGAGCATACCCGGAATAGTGTTATCAAAAGGCTGTACCGATAACCGAGGCAGATGCGGCCAGTACCTCAGGAATTTCAGTTTGTTGCAACTATTTTTTCTATACGCCTTACCAAAATTTTACATACACGGGTTATTTTTAAGAGATCACTAATTGCCATTAAAACGATCCTGTAGTCCTTTCTCACCGCATATTTCTCTGCGAAGTACTGTGCTACCGATTTGATAGTTTCCCGCCCATCTTCGGTAACGCCTTTGAATCTGAAAGTTTTCTATGAGTTTGGAAAACGACTTTGAACATTCTGTTCGAATAGCTTCATTTTTACGTGAGCTGGTCCGCAGGCATTTGGAGACTGTTAACGCGATAGACTCGAACGGCGCCCTTGCGATGAGAGATCCTGATTTTGATGCCCTTCACTGCTTCAGCTAGGATTTTCATCTCATGATTAGACAGCGAAAATTCTTTGTAGAGGCTACTTGGCTGAAATGATACTGCTCAACGATGATTCGGTTCCAGTCGCAATTACAGAATACTACTTCTTGTTCGTTTATCATCTGATTGTTGTTGACGTATTACTCACCGATAGCATTCCTAACGACTCCTCATGCCGCTGCGTCGTAGGATGTGTGGTCCTTGGTGCATATGTGTGGTAACCACCGCGACCAGCACTTGTAGCAGTACCACCTCTGCTCGCACAGTAAGTGCGCCCAGGCTGAGCAGTGGTGCCGTAACTGCTACGAGTAGTGGACGACGGATTACGGTACGCACCAGCGCGTTCATTTAGAACGTCGCACATAAACTGAACCATTGAAATTTTAGCCTTATAGAATGCAGTATGTGCAACTGAAATAATGTGAGCTTGTAAATACTTATGGGGTAAAAGCCATCACAACTTCAGCTGGATGAGAGCACATACCATCGATATTCAGCAGCGGTTTCCATCCGCTGGCGACGTGGGCAGACGAGAAAAAGCCGGTCCACATTTCTTTGCCACCCTCCAAATCGAGTGCTAGCGCACCGTTGATAGGAATTCGATAACAAGACGACTTCCATGAATAAAAGTTTGCAGCGTTACTTAAAAAGAGGCATAATGACCAGTCATCCGTAAGAATCAAAAAGGTAATGACTGCTGGTTGAAACCTGCTCGAAGTCAGGTCATAGGTTAGTCACTGACTACTGGTTTTTAAGAACCAATTCCGCTAAGACAGTATGTTTACGAAAACGTGATTCTTAAAGTGGAGCTTACGTTGAAGTGCAATGCTGATGTGGCTCTCAACAATGACCTCACGGTTTACTTAACTTTTTTCCTATATCCCATTACACATGTAACCATAATGTAATACATGCAAACTTCGCTCCATTCTAACAGTTTCTCTTACAGAAGTGCGAATGAGCGTCTGTGCATTGGAGGAACCTTTATCTTGCTTGTGGTTGCTCTGATGGGAAGAAAGTGTTCCACTAGCGACGGCAAAGAAGGGCTTTCTAAAAATGCTGGGTTTTTGAAGGGAGGGTAATTCGCTTTTCAAAGTATGTTGCTATTTTTCTGAGTGAGTGTTTATTTGAAGACCGTCGCCTCTCGTCCTGTCGTTTCTGATGTAGTTTGTTATACAAAACGATAGTATTGTATTTCATAAGCTGTAATCGGGCTGCTGCAAAGTAAGATAGCCATACGTGATGGCAACGGTGAGGTATGGGTGTTGCCCGAACACTCGAAGGTAAAGAGTCGTTACGCATGGTAAGCATCATTCTTGAAAATTCCCATTTTCTGAGAGCTGCTCATTTGAGGAGGGCATACAATAACAACATTACCATTTACCAGTTGGTAATGTCTTCCGTAGGAATCCGTTGTATGATTGGCGTCGCAAGATCCTTTACCCAGGAGCTGGTTTTTTGCGGAAGGTAATGTAAAACAACTGAGTTGCAACATCAGGACTGTAACCAGCTGGGGTCCTTTCTTGCTCTTGGATGCATTAATCAGGATCACTCTCCCGTTTAGTCGCATCTGACCCTGCGAAATGGATTTGAAGGGAAAGGCGCGCATGTTGAGCATGTTCGGGCATGTTGAGCGGCTTTGGTAGACTCTCAGATTTTGGGTAGCTCATATATAATACCAGTTAGTAAAAGACCACAGCAAACCTATCCTTTTACATGTGCAGACGGCTGCTTTATATCCTAAACACGTACTCGATGAACGGACAAGTGAGACTCTGACGGCAGACGATATCCAGAATTTGAATTGGGGTGAGAACACGCTCATCGAGATTGTTTGTACGAGTGCGTCGCATTTCGATAAGTACTGGACCAACGCACTGAAATTCTCTTGAACAGGTAGAAAATTCGTGTCGAAGTTTTTCGTGAACTGCTCTATTGATTGGATCAAATCAAATGGTTTGATAAAACGTTGAAAGTTAAATTCCGTGCATTTGTAAGAAACCATCCATACCTGGAAAGAGACTGCACAAGGAGTTCGTTCCCTGGAATCTTTGGCGAGCGGTACATCTGCTTCAAGCCGCATCTCAAACAATACGGTGTTGTTATAAGTTCAGAAAAATTCAGTACGTAAAAATGATGATGAAGAAATGGAATAGAGTGTGAAGATCGACCTTTCTTTACAATATCGAAAGACAAACCAAGTTGGGCAGTTTGCATTCTGCATGTTTACCTACTGTCGTGAGAATGTGCCACCCCGATCAATAACTATTATTCCTTGTTACACTTCTCTTATCAACCTTGTTAGAAATTGTCGTTGGATCATCTCTTGAGTTGAACTCACAGAATTCCGCTTATCAGGAAATTCCAAACGGTATGGCGTGTAGAGTTGATGAGCACCGTCGAATGCGACGGCAAATTTGTTGGCGAAAATTGATGGGTGGTCGGCAACGACTTTCCAGAAGATTGCACGGTTCTCGTCACTGAAACAAGGTGTCTCTAAAGCTTTAGTTTATGTATCGGTCTTGTTACATTCAGTTTTTAGCTTCAGCATTCTTTGATGGCCTACCTTTTCACTTGTTGGTGATTGAGTGCTTTCAATGTATATTTTCTAAGGCAACTCAAGGCAACCCGAGTAATGATAGTGGCGGACTGTAGAGACAGTGCACCTCAACTTGTCCAATGCACTGTGTATCAACAAGCCGCAAGATCACCTAATAATTTGGCCTATCGCATTCCTTTTCATGTAAAGCTTACCTTTCTATAAGCCCACCGGTAGAGAATCGGTTGGTGTCTGTCCACTTTTCCCTTGGGTTCATTTAGCTTTTCGTGGACAATATCAACTAAGTGAGTTCAAAGACTTCACGAAACAATAAGATACCATTCGCTTCCCCATGGCCTTACTATCTTGCTCATCCCAAATATTTCAGTGTTGACAGGACCGCACACACTGTTCTCCTTCCATAAACAATAACCATAGTACTAAGCCGTGGTTAAGCGAGCGAGTTAATGCTAACTATTTGCTAGCTATCTGAAACCCTGATCTTTTTGCATTTTCTTTCTCTGCTTTTTCGCTTTCTTTTTCTCTTCTTCCTCTTTTTCACTGCTGATGATCTGCCATGTGGTAGGTATAGATGATACTCATAAAAGTTAAGTAATCCCACTTTATATAATCGCTGAAGCTATTGGGTTTGTTTGTGTAATTTTGTGGATGTGTTTATCTGTGGGTGTACGTGTGCGAGTATGTGTGTATGTGTATTTTTGTGAAATGTATTTGTGTGTATAAGTGTATGTGATGAGCATGTGTAGGTGTTGTGTTATGTATGTACGTTATGCATGTATATGTAGTATGCGTATATGTGTAGGTATGTTAGTGTGTATGTGCGCCTGTGAATGTATATACATACAGTAGTGCTCAAAAGTACCCGGCGAAACGCTTCTTCAGTCACTCTTGTCTGTCGTAACTTCTTTCCTACTGGATCTGATCATGCGAAATTTCAATATGTGTAGCATGGATGTATTGTGAATATTTATCACTATTAACCTGCAATCTGATCATGTTCCAGATATCCCAAAGGGCTTGAACTCAAAATCAACCAGAAATATGAATGATATTTTTCTGGAATTTCTTTCCTTTCTGCCATGTCTTAAGTTCACGAGCGCTAATGCCGAACACAGTAGAGAAGAAAAACGCACGTAAGGCGTGAATAACTGCAGACGTCACTAACTTCGCTCAAGCGAAGTTTGCTACGGCAAAAACACCCTACTCCCAGTCATGTGGATATTGCTGCTTTGCCTTCAAACGAGGTTGGAGCAGGTGTGAAATAGCTCTAGTCAAACATATCAAAATTTCGCGAAAAACGTGAAAGCTTTTGGCCGAATACTTTTGAGCGCTACTGTAATTCATAACTCCACTCCTTTGGACCTGAAGGGCAGTAACGATTACAGTCGGTAGCATTGATAAGGTGCTTGAGGAGAGAAGGCTACGGGATCCATTACGCTCTTTGTGCTAGCAGTAAAACACCTTCATGTGGGAGGTGATGTGGGTTGTGAAGAAACCATAAGTTGTTCGTGACAATGGTGGACAGGATATAATAAGAGCTGCTAACGAGCCACGTAAGCAAGAGGCACGGGGTCTGTAACATGCTCCACGTTAACAACGGACTTTTGAAGCCTCAATGGTTTAGATTGTCGGGATCGCGGATGGAAAATAACAACAACTGGGAAGGACATGTGAAAGCCGCTGAATCACTTCCTCCTTCCGCACGTCAGGGGCTTTGCTGCTTATGCGCGCAATGTAGTGTGTGGCTGAGTCGCAGCTAAGGCATGACATGAAAATGATAACAGTTGATAACGGCTATTGATGGATTATACGCTTTTAGTTTTGATTCCTTCTGTACATACAACGTGGCCTCGTTATTTTGATGTCCCATAGGACAAGACGGGATGATAGAGCAGCTCGACAAAAATTGAAGAAAAAGTGCAGTGGTTAGGACCGATCGAGCTAGTACCATTTGAAGACAACAAAGTTCGGTTTATTTTTTGCGTACAAGTTGCAGAAACTCGCCTCAGATTTGCGACTTGATAGAAACGCGGTGTTTCCTTTTTCGATGTCGGTTTCACGAAGCTGTTCAACCGAGAAGCTGAGAAACTCTTCCAATGATTTCCACACATGAAGTTAAGAACGTCTATGACTGTGAACTTCTGATAGTGGCGTTTCCATGAATAAATATCCATTTGAGGCTTCGATTCGGAACGATTGAGGCGGTGGCAATCGTTTGTAACGTAAACACATATCGGGAAAATACACCTACAGTAGGATTGGGCATCGAAGGGGATTAGTCCGAACGTGATCGTTTGGAGTCCAAGTTCATTCCTGTGGCAAATGCTATGGCGCGTCTTTCGAGCTTGACAAATAAGTTCTTAGCTATGGAAATAAGTGCTTACATATGTGTCCGTAAACGATATAATCTTCGCAGCAACAGCACGAGAAGAAACAGTCGCTAAATATCACGAAAGTCCCGGAAAAATCGAAAAACATTAATCTCTCAAAGAGATTTATGTTTTTCGCGGACGCAGACAAAACGAAAATATTGAAGATCAGCAACCATAAACCTAGAGCGAACATATGATTCTACAGAAAACAAGAAATAAGAACCAGACAAGAAAGCCATTGCTCTTCCAAGGTTTACTCACTTGAAAAGGGTTCCGATTCCTCATGGAAGTTGGAGTATAGATCTAGGTATATCGGGCTGCTGTCAAAGTTTGGAAACAGTTTCGGTTTAAGTGCGCATTTGTCCTCAATGTCGACAAGCGTCGCCACGGCGTGATAGTGCTGCTCTTCCTCCTTAAACACCCTTTGGACAATCTCTGGGCAGCGGCCTCCCTCCTCGCGCACTTGTTTGAAATATAGGATTGGTACATGTTAATTCTATGCAGAACTTTTATTTTCAGCATTAAATCACACACACCTCCAAACACACATCACATCGTAGCACTTCCTCTTCCATCGCCACACACATCGTCACACACACCGACACACAACGGTACAAATACACACACAAGAGGAAGTGCTTTGAAACACACGTTCCTGAAAAGTCAACAGTGAAGGAGCAATCCTAAAAACTTGCGAAGGAAACATGTTGCACATGTTTCATGTTTTAATATGTCACTCCTCTCTTGCCCGCGTCGATACTCCTCTGTGGACTTCGACCTTTCAAGACAGTAGTGCTGCAAATCGCGAAGAGTGAACGAGACATATAGACAGTTAGTCAATCTGCTCTTTTAAAGTCGTCACTGGATCAGAACTGAAGGATATTTGTAATCAAACTTTCCCGTTGCGTTTTTATCAAAGTCACTGCTATGATGGAGATGGTGGCACTTCTAGCCTAACTGACAACGAAAACGAAGGACACTTTAGCATACAGCAATTGCTCGCGATCAACTATGATGTGTGTTTCTTCTAATGTTAACGGAGAGAACGATATATACACCTTACAAATTCTGCGTTCCATAGACCTTTGCATTACAGCAAATTTCTCTTCGTCTGCTTTCGTAGACGACCAGCATTCTGCGCCATACGAAACCGCGGGTATCACAGTCGAGTGGAAAAGGGACGCTTTCAGTTTCATTGGGAGGTCTTCGTCTAGTAGTAGCGTTGAAATGTTGTTGAAGCTAGACCAAGTTGCCTTCCTGCGCCTGCTGTACTCTCCGCTGCTGCCTCCTGTAGCTGCCTTCTGTGAAACTGAGCTGAAGTCCGAGATACTTAAAGTTTTCACTTCTTTGATGGTTT